TTTAAGGAAGGTATATCTTCAAGGTTGCCATCCATAATCATTCTAAGAAACAATACATGTATAGTATGTAGTCATAAAGCATCCTTATGAAGAAACAAGACAATTCATATATTTCAAACATAATATAAAGCCATCGCGGGTTACACAACATCGGCAATCAGATTGTCACAAAACTCCCATGTTAGCCATTGTTTGAAAATAAGTGGGTCAACCCCCTTACAAATCAGATTCTCACTTACAAACCAAATCATGCATAAATCAATAAATAAAAATTCAAATTGTCTGGATAGACATGTCCTGAGGATCCTCATTCACTCCTGTGAGATCCTCACCATCGGCAGCTGGCCCTTGAGGGATTGGCTCTTGAACGGATGGCGCGGTTGTCTCCGTATCCATTGCGCTGACTAAATCTACCAGAACTTCTTCGTCTTTGTCATTCAAGGTCACCAGTTGGCCATCCTTGATAAAGTAGAGATAATGATCGCTATCCAGTTTGGCAGTAGGATTGAAGAGGCGTACTTGCTTCAGGATATCTGTGTAGGTCCCTTCAACCTCCTTCTCAAACAAATCTTGAAATTTCTTGACTTCATCATTTAACTGGGCCTCTTTTTCTTTCCACGAATCGGCGTTTCCTTCCAGTTCCAGGACGCGCTTGTTCAAGTCAATCTTCTCCGTCTTTAACTCTTTATTTACTGTTTTTACCTCTTTCAACTCCTGCTTCACCTTTGTTATCTCATCTTCTGCCTTCTTTAGCTTTTCTTCAAAATCTGTGCGCTGCAGAAAAATCTCCCCCTTTAGGTCCACAATGCGCTCCTTCAAATAGCCAACAGACCCTGCTACATAGAAAATGTTATATCAAAATGATTAACATCAAGTTTTCTACATACCAGACACATATGGAAATAACGTACCAGGCACAGACATGATAAACTGGTTAGCCACACTTAGCTTCCCAGTGGTTGCCAACCATTTCTCCATTGGAAGCTCTTCAATGCGGGGACCTATCTCTTTTCCCTTGGCATACATATCCTTATCAAAGTCCCAGCCTTCCCCAACATAGATTAATTCTGGGAACCCCATGTCAGCCTCGACGGATTTCCTCTTTTGTCCCCGCGGGGAGTTCCCTACCTCTTTCGTTGAAGGGGAGGCAGTCTGGGCACCTCCAGTAGGAGGACCCGGCGACTTTATTCGCGTGACAGCACCCTCACTCGATTCAGTACCAACCGCAGTAGCACTGGGGGGCGCATTAGGAATAGAAGGGTCGGCATCTCCAGCAATTCGCATTGCTGCAATCTTCTGCAACCTGGTCAACAAAGCAGCCATTGAACTATCTGCAAAGGATTGAAGATTCCACGTTAGACATATATACAAATCAACATATAAATAATCTCTTCAGATACTAATACCATAAATAAACGCAAAATTTTACCTAGGAAAGCTCTGATATCGTCGTCAGTATATTCATTCAAAATTGTATACGTGCTTAAGTAGCCCGTATCAGAAGCCTCTCGCGCGATGTTACCTAGGGTGATCATTGTCTGCTGTTCCAAATCACTCAAATCGTCAAAATTATAGCTCAAATTTTGACCCTCTAACGGCTGCTGAGTCCAATATAGAGGAAAGATGGGGGTGTTATCTTCTTCCCTTAAGAAAAATGGTATGGAATCTTTAGAAGGATAAATCTTGAAAAAATCTGTGGACCATTTGTGAACCTTCCTTTGATAGGACTCGCAAAATTTAACTTTACTTCTAAACGAGATCCAGCTCGAATGCAGTCCCATCACACTAAACATATACAAAAATGACTCGGGGGATTGAAAAAGGTTGTAGGCCTTGCAGACCATCTCGTATACCCTTATAAAACCCCAGGCATTCGGGGTCAATTGTGATGGCGCCACGTTGATTGATATGTGCCAATAACTTACAAACACAGGACGAAAATGGAGGACGTACTCCAAATGACAGAAAAAATGGGCATACATCATTATGAAATGCCTAGACAATCCCTCCGCGCGCATTGAACAAACGCGTTCATTTAAAGAGACAACATCTATCTCCCACTTGTCATCATGAGCTTTTTCAAGGGTGATGTGGATGGAAACCTTTAATTGTGCCAATTCTTCTGGAGAGCTATATATGGAGGCGGTATCTAAAACAGTATCCGCTACCCAGCTCAGGGATTCTTCATTCCGAAGATTACGCTTGGCCGGGGATTCTTCATGATCAATCTATAGCGCTTTCTTCTTCGCCTCAAGATTAATCTGTAGTGCTTTTTTCTTCGTATCAGGATTCATCTTCTGCTTTTTCTTGTCACCGGCATCGCGTCTTGCCATGATTTCTTTAATTTTAGGCGAAACAAAATCTGATTTAAAAGAGGAGGAATCAGTAGAGACAGACGAAGAAGAGACAACAAATGCAGATTTATAATTGTCAAAATTTCTTTTCTTATAGGGGTACCCCACTGGGTATATCACATTTAAGGGCAGGGGACTTGGACTCCTTTGACCACAAGGATCTCGCGCGATAACAGAAGAAGTATCGCGCGATGAAATTGAAGGGGACGATTCGAGGTTTACTGTATTAACAGACCTATAACTACAATCAGAACTCGAAGCAGAGTAACTCGAAATCAAAATGGGACTAGTCATTTTAAAGGAAACTTTTGGAAAAAGAGATGATATTTATTGAGAAAGAGATTTTGCGTTTTCGCGATTAGGTTTTCGTGAAGACGAACCAAATTCAAACCATCGAACAGAAGGCGTACGATTGTCATTTACAATTACTTTCTTCCAGGGAGCAGAACACTTGTCAGAATCACTATATAAACAAAGGGTACATGCCCAGGTATGATCATCTAATTCAGTAAGAATATACATACACCTACAACTGATACTGACTTAAGCATCGGAGTGTCATTGTAGGTACCCCCCATCCAGTCTCAACGATCGCGCTAACAAAGGACCAGAGTCCATATATCATCATCAACAACCTCCAGCCCAAGAAGCATAGCATCTTCATCATTCCAACCGTGTGTGATTTGGCCCAGTACATATTGGCTAGCCCATACTGTATTTGGTCTGATCACTTTCCATAAACTAATTCTCTAGGTTAATTAAGGAACCCTTAGTGCTGATGCAATGAAGTCAGTTCTAAGGAAGGACTCCCTCCAAGGGTGATAACTGAAAATAATGAGAAATTAGTATATTTGGCAGCTTAGGCAAATGGAGAAAATAATATATTATACCTGGTTTATTTATGATGGACCAATGGTTACACGTTAGAATTGTTATCCCTCCAACAACTAACTAATTAATGTTGGATGGATTGAGAAGAGCTTATATAAGCTGAAACACCTTCCTTGTCTACTGCCACCCAATGTAAGCTAGAGTGCGAATAAATACTTTTGAATAGAGTAGGCTGTTAATAGTAAGGAAATTATAGGAATCAATCTTCTAAAATGTGTTTCTTTATTGTTAATTTCATAGCATGTTTAAGCATTCAAAATTATTCTAGTGTAACTAATGCAACATATGTGTTTATTTGGATGTTTGATATCTTTTTAAGAAAAATTTAATCTGTAGTAGTCAATCTCAATCCTAATATAGTTAAACTATGTTGTGTTGATATTATGTGCACATGGACGTTACACAGTATACTTAGTGCAGCCGAAAGCCACAAGCATAGTTGTCACTACAGTTGTTGGGACTAATGAGCTTTTCCCCTTCTTCAAAGGGTCTTGTCCCTTGATCATTAATTTTCGAATTGGAGATTGAAAATGTAGTATCAGGATGAACGTCAATTCAATCATCAAAAGTGCCACCTTCTTTCTCGTGTAGAAGGAAAAGATAAAGCATAGGATTTAGGCAAAAAAGGAAACTAAAAAAGGTAATAATGGGTAGATTGATAGAAGTTTGGAAGCATTAACAACAAATGAGATTCTATCAAACTTGTAATCAACTAACAACGACGAGCATATAGTGTGAGAGAACTGAAAGAAAAAAGGGAAGCAAGTAGAGGGTGAAAAGAGGAGACAAGAGTGAGACAAAACCTAAGATGAAAAACACAAATAAAAATGAAAATAACAAAATAATAATTTACAAATTTTAACAAGTAAGAAGATGACATGAAATTATTTTTTCATGTGTTATAAAATGAGTTAATGTAGAATAGCACCAAAGATTTATTCATATCATACCTTTTTTAGTTTAAATTTAGAACAGTTGATGTCAAAAGAATTGAATTGAAAAGAAAAAAATGTTAAAAAAGTAATGCACATTTAAGATTAATTTTAGGAGAATTCATTTTGTTGGAATAATGAAAATTAATTTTGAGATTCAATTATTATAAAGATCATTAAAAATAATATTATTGTTAAACAGGTACGCATTGTATTAATTGATAAAAGTAAAAGCTAAAACATTTTGATTCCAATAAAAATTATTCTTCCCACCGCACATTCTGGTTTTTCAAACTGAAGCAGCTCTAAAATATAAAATGAAACGCTTTACTCTCCCAGGCAACAATAGAGCCAATAGGCCACAACCCAAAACGATCTCATTATCTTCACCCCCTTAATCTATTATCGTTAGCTTTGTAGTCACCTAAACACAATTTAGAGTTCATGGATCACAAGAAATTAAAACATCATCTTTCGTAACTACATACATTACTTGCAAGTACTTGTTCAATAACTACGCCAACACTTCCTAGTACGGCACTTTGTCCTTGACTTATTGCAATGAAACGAGTAGCATTATAGCATTCAAGGTAGACTAACAGTTCTGGAATAGTTAAAACCATGACTCGATATCATTTTTCCCAACCCATCAAAGCAAAAATGAGTCATCCATTTTGAACTTGTCATATACTCAGAGAAATGTTACAACTCCAAAATGCCCCCCATTCTTTGTAAATTTATCAGCTAGAGAATTGTTAAAACCCTAAAAATCTTCAATTCCAAATAGATTCGTTAACTGAGTGATAGATGTTTTGTAGTAAAATGTCATTCTTACTACTGAGTTTTATATATTGGGAGAAGAAAAACAAAAGAAAAAAATTCATTTTTAAGTTTAAGGTATACAACCTCAATGTATTTTTCTTCTCACATTGTTTTTTCCTATAATAGTCCCTTCCTACAATGGGGACGGTGCATCACCCTGTTGCAAAAGTCATAAACCACAAAGGAAACATTTTAAAAAAATTGGAGGGTTGTATTATTCCTGTCGAGAAAGCTGGAAAGAATACCGGATATGATGGGTCTGATCAGAAAACTCAAGTTACATATTCAATTAGAAAATGCTGAAACAAAGGTTCTCAGACCGAAATGCCATAATTGCTAATTTTAGAGATCTCCTTGGTCAAAGAATTCTTTTCATGCTTTGCCTCAGAAGCAAGTTTGGAAACCTGTCAACCAGAGAATGCAGAAATAAGCAGAGTATGTTAATCTTGGCATCTTTTCTCTATTACCTAAAAGATGTTAAGAGTTGTAAGGCAATAAGGAAATTTCTTGCATTTATTAGAAGTGATAAAAAGTGAGAAATCATGATAAAAATAAGCAAAGTCTGTTAATCTTGGCATCTTTTCTCTATTACCTAAAAGATGTTAAAAGTTGTAAGGCAATAATAATAAGGAAATTTCTTGCATTTACAAGCATAGTTACTCCTAATTATAAACCTAAACCAGACTGGTGAGTACAACCGTGAGAGATCATGTGTTTAACACCACAATCATACTTATATCAGACAACATTTTCAAGAAATACATTACCCATTATATGAAGCAGAAATAAACTAATAGAACAAATAATTTCCATGAAATTCTGATTTAAAATTATGCAGCTCATCATTTTAACATACAATACAAGAAAGGATTTCATTTTATTTCTGTACATCACATTATTGATATGTTTGGATTGGGCGATTGATCTTGGAGGGACTGACTGAGTGGAAAGAGAATGACGTGGGAACCTCATTTTTCATGGTTTGGGACAAGAATAGCAAATGGAGGGAATGCCTTATGATAAGTCTCTTAAATGAGACTTAGAACATGTGGCTTAATGTGCAAATGGAGAGAAAAGAATAATTTGTGTAGTTAAAATACCCCAAATTTATGTTGAACTGAAATATAATGGGTTCAAATGCTAATGGGCTTCAATTTTTGTTTCTCAGGCCCATTTGTTAACACTTTCCAAGCAATGAAAGACAGAAGGAAAGAGTAGAAAAAAAAAGCAAGAAGAAATGAAATGGGCCTGTTGTATGAAGAGAACCCAATCAAAAGCCCGTTTGAAGAAAAGAAAGAAAAAAGAGCAAAGAAAGGAAGAAAGAGACAGAATCAGAAACACGAAAAGAAAAGGGCTGAGAGAAAACCCTAGCACACATCGTGCGACAAAGACCTACCCTCATTCAACCACAAATCCACACCACCCATCCAAATTTCCTTGCCACAAATCGACTTGTAAAGCCAGACCGCTCCTTGTATTCGGTTTATTTATCAAGATTAACCCTCACCCACGGTCCATTGAGGGATTAACCAAACCCTAACCACTACTTTTTTATACAGAAAAAGCCAAACAAAACCCTTGACTGAGTGGGTGAGCTGGAAGCTTTTGTGAGTGGAGGCTGAAGCAATTTTTGGAGGCACTAGTCATCGTGCGGTTTGGAGGAGCGAAATTTCATTTGGATTGTCAGATGCAAGTGGGGAGCGGTTGGGGACCACTGATATGCTACGCGCAAGAAGTGCGTGATGTTTGCTGAGGTGTGAGGCAGAAATCCATACATGCAAAGGAAGAAGGTTGTATAAAGTGGAGGAATAGTGAGTGTGCCGGGGGCTCGGGTTTTTCATCTGCTATTTTTACCTTTTATTTTTTTCTACCCTTTTATGCAGAATTTTCATTTCTCTGTTTGGATTTGGTAATGAAGTTTGTCTCTGAATACTCATGTTAGTACAGCACTGTGGTTATCCGGTTGTTCGGACCAGTGCTGTAGTTTAATTTTAAGCACTTTAATATTCTGTAATTTTCAATTTTATTTGCTGTTTTTGAGCTCCATTCTTATGGATAGGAGCTAATCTATTCAAGGTTGGGTGTAGGTACCCGAACCTCAGCTATGAATTTGTGTTGATTGCTTTGGTTAAAAGTTGATTCCTTTTTGTTTAACACTGTTTGAATTTAAAATATTTTATTGTTAAGGCCTGATGGTAGAATATTATTTTAGGAATTAGCCATTGAGAGATGACTAAGTCCAGAACTGTGTTAAGCACATGGACTTGAGTGTGAAAGCACTCAAGGGATGTTACTCAGAGATGAGAATAGCCTCCATGTAATTTTGGATTGGACTATAAGGGTCTTTGCTTCGTTTAGCACATAGATGTGCAAATATTTGTTTAGGACAAAAATGTTTTTAAGAGATTAAAAGCAATAAGAAAGAATCCATCACTTGGGAATTAATTTTTAGGGACTTGTAATTAGCACTCATTCAGAGGCTGTTGGGGAAGGGGAACTGAAACTCAACCTGTTTTTACAACTGAGTTTACAACACTTCAGCATTATTTTCATTTGATTTTCAATATCTCACTTCTAATTCTGTTTACTAATTTCTTTATATAAAAATCTCTTGCAATCAAATTTTCTTTTTTACATCAGAACCCCAATTTATTTTCCTTTGATTTTTCACTCTTTAGTGCCTGAAATCAATCTTTAAAAAATCCAAAAAGAAAAGAAGTCACTGGTTAGTAATAGTTTAACTTAGTATTGTGATTATTTGGTTTTCATTTTTACTCATTTTTTAGAATAGGTTCAGTTTTAGCAATTACAAAGTTTAGTCAAGTTAAACACGCTAAAGATCCTTGTGGGAACGATAAAAGGGTCTCAAATACACCCTGTATTATTTGTTGTCGCGTATACTTGCACGCTACTTGCATAACTGTTAGCAAGGCAACAAGTTTTTGGCGCCGTTGCCGGGGATCAAAAGCGTACATTTGTAGAATTCAGCATGATTGCTGTTCTGAATTAGTTTATTTTTCTGTTTTTATTTTTAGATTACTTTTAATTCTATCTTCTTTATTGCGTAGTCACTGTTGCTACATTATTTTTTTTTATATAGTGGTAGTTTGATTCTTGTTCTGTTCATATTCTGATTTTTACATGTTTTATATAATTCTCCTGTCATTTCATTTTCTAGTTTATTGTTTAATAGTTGTTACCTTGTTTCTTAATTTTGTAGTTTCAATATTTTATTTTTATTATTAGTTTCATTCTGTTAGTTTGGATATATTGTTACTGCTCTATAAATCTGTTTGGTTGTGGATACTGTTGCTGCTGCAATTTGGGACTTTTCTGTTTGGCAGGTTGCTGTTAATATATTTTTTTTTTAAAAAAAAAAAAACTGAATAGTAATCTAAGTTGTTTTAGCTAGTCAGGTTTGCTTGTTTTAGTTAAAAGGGTGCATGAGTGCAACTCCACACCTGTTCTTAGATTCTTTTGATCCAGAACCTGAAATGACATTTAGAGTTAGGAGACGAACCCAGAGAGCAAATAGGCAAATCCCAATTCCAGATTTTGAAGAGATGGAGGATGTAGGAAATGGAAATGGGAATGAAGAAGGACCTGCAAGGATAGAGAACCCACCAGTCATACATGACAATGATAGGTCCATGATGGACTTCATCATACCTGTTTTGGATAAGTTAGACCCAAGTATTGCCCAACCTGTTAATGGAGTGCCCTTTAAGTTAGAACCTGTCATGTTCACTATGCTCCAAAATATGGGGCAGTTTCATGGGTTGTTGATGGAAGACCCACACAAACACCTTAGGAATTTTATAGAAGTGGCCAACACTTTTAGGAATCCTAACATCTCAGATGATGTGCTGAGGTTGAAGCTCTTCCCTCACTCACTGGCTGACAAAGCCAAAGAGTGGTTGAACTCCCTTCCATCCAACTCCATAACCAATTGGCACACCCTTGCTGAAAAATTTATCATGAAATTTTTCCCATCCAACAAGATAGTGCAAACTAGGTGTGACATCACCAACTTCATGCAGAAGGATGGTGAGACCTTAGTGGATGTGTGGGAGAGGTTCAAAATTCTTCTTAAGCAATGCCCCAACCATGGTTTGCCCTCTTGGGCAGTATTACAGACTCTTTACAATAGCCTGAATATTCAAAACAGAGCCTTAGCAAATTCTGCTACTAATGTCCATGTCCTTTAATCAAGAACAAATGACTCAAAATTATGCCCAATGGCCTGAAGAGAGAAATCAGTCTAGGAGAGTGGCTGGCTTACATGAGGTAGATCCAGTAACAGCCTTTTCAGCCAAGTTTGATGCACTGTCCACTCTAGTTAGAACCCAAGGACAAGCCATTGAGGCAAGGTTGTCTCAACCTTAAGTTCCAATACCTACACCTCAAGTTCCAGTGCCCCAACCTCAAGTCAATGCAGTGAACTCAGGTGAAACTTGTGTTTTCTGTGGTGGACCCCATTTGTTTGGTAGCTACCCATCCAACCCAGAATCTGTCTTTTATGTGGGAAACCAAAATAGGAACCAAAATAACTTTTCCAATAACTTTAATCAAGGTTGGAGGCAGAATCAACAGCCTCAGTATTTCCAAGGGCAAGGGCAGCAAGCTGGCCCGTCTAATGCTCAGGCCAAACCACCTTTTTCCTCTCAAAACTACCAACAATCTCCAAGGCAGCAACTTGTTGCTCAATCTAGTGAGATGCCTACCTCTTCAACTGCTTCCTTAGAAGCTTTGTTATGAGAATATTTGGTTAAGAATGAGACTAAGCAAAATAGCTTGGAAGCTGTTGTGCAAAGTATTCCTGCATCTTTGAGGAATATAGAATCCCAACTAGGCCATCTAGCAAATACTATGAATAGCAGACCCCCTGGTACCCTACCTAGTAACACTGAAGAGCCTAGGAGAAATAATGAGCAATGTCTTATGATAGAGCTCAGAAATGGCAGATCTGTGAATCAGCCAGAAGCTGTGGTTAGACCTTCCACATTAAAAAAAAGAGAAGAGGAAAAAGTGAAGCAAGGAAAAGAATTAAATTCTGAATTTGTTCAGTCACCTAGAGTCCATGACAGCCAACAAGAGGCTGTGTTTAGTGATCCCCTACCTATTCTGGTCGAACCAGAAATTCAAACTCAACCAGACCCATCTTTAGGGACTATTTCCATGGAAAAGTCCATTCCAAAGGGTCCAACACCCAAGTCAAATGTTGAGACACCAGTTGTCTCACACAGACCCCCACCACCTTTTCCTCAAAGGTTGCAAAAACAGAAGCAAGACAATCAGTTTAGGAAATTTCTAGACCTCCTAAAACAGTTGCATGTCAACATTCCATTTGTGGATGCATTAGAACAAATGTTCACTTATGTGAAATTCATGAAAGAAATTTTTT